TAAGCAAGATTAAAAAGTATGTTAGTGAAAGGCACTAAGGAAAAAAGTATAGAATAGGAAGCATGAGGTGGGGTACAGTTCTAGGCAGGGTGGTCTGGGAAAGCGTATGAAGAAGTGACATTTGAGAAAAGATCTTGGGGAAGCCTCTTCATGGTCTCAATACGTTATATGTTCTAAATTAATTCTGACTCAGAGTTGAAGTTTAACAAGGTAGTTTGAAATTTCACCTCAGCCACATTTTGAGAGTCCCCCCGCCCTACCCCCCACTTCCTAGGGATGTTTGGGGTCCTCAGGGTTTCTGTCTTCCTCCTCCAAGTATGTTTCCAACCCCTCATCTTACTCCAGCCTGGTTGCTCCTTAGGTCTCTGTGTCCAACCCTACATGGTTCCTTTGAGGGGCCAGGTGTGGGTACAGGAATCTTTTGCTATGGCTAAGAAGCCAAAATTTAATTTTGTCACCCAGGCATCCAAGTGCTATCTCATCAGAGGGGCTCTCCCCTGTGGGCATGTTACCAGTGAACTGGGGAGACCCTGGGCCCTGGGGCCTTGACCCAGCCCATCACAAAGATGATGCTGAAGGTTCTTGGCTTCCTCATGAGAAAGAATTCAAGGACAGACACAACACAGTGGATGAGTGACACAAGTGTGAAGTTTATTAAAGCTCAAGTATATTCTCCAGATGTTAGAGCAGGCAACCTGAAGAGAGAGCTGCGCACCCTGGGGTTTGGGTTTCTATCTTTTATTGACCGTTGCCAACTAGGGAGTGCAATATTCCTTACTTGGGGCAGGGTTTTTTTGGAAGCAGGGTTTTGGCTTTTTCTTCCTTATTTGGTCGGGAGTTTCCTGTCATGGCACCCACCATCTTGGGCCTGCATGCTTTGATATGGCTTCTTAGTGGAGTGCTACCAGGACAGGCCTCTGACTTTCCTGATAGCTGGCCATGGCTTCCTCATTGCTAGGCTTCAGGTATCCTGTTAGAATCTAACTGCCTATTCTAACAGACACAAGTCTGGGGTACTCTGGGAATTCCTCCCCAAACTCCCAACCCATCTTTAGTCTAGATGTCCCTCATGATGGGGCTACTTCTCTTCCTCAAATTTCAGCATACATCTTTCTAACAGCCCTTCTCACAGCCCAAGCACCCAAACAAAAGCCTGGGTGGTGGTTTTCCAGGTGTCTCTCTACCTTCGTTTTTAACCTCCAAGGTCATGGTAGCAAGGAAGTGACCTTTTTAATATGGAATCTCAGAAGGAGAGCCCTTATTCCTTTGAGTCTTACTAAGGACAAAACAAAATTAATGTCTCAAATTACCTTGCCATGCATTCAAATAATGAATGTGGTCAATATGAATTATATTTATTTGTTAATATACTCAGAATTGTTTGAAAAAATACTTCTGTTCCCCTTTGGCCTATTAGCATTATGATTATTTGTGCTTGAATTTGGCGGGGGTAGGGGGGGAGACATTCCTTTAAGAATATTGTTACCTGGACTATTTTTTGCTATCTCTCCCTGCCCTACCGGTTGGGGGGTAGATTTACAATAGCTCAATTCATGTAAAAGACCAGTAAATTGTGGAGATGGAGTTGCTACTGGCCAGCAGAGAGATTAGGAGACTAAAACAGAGGGGTGAGAGTCAAATGGAAGAAAGGTAGGAGTGGAAGAAGGGAGAAGAACAGGAAAGGAGATGGAGCACTGAGAAACAGGGAATGGAAGGGACAGGAGAAAATGAAGTTAGACACTCACTCAGGATGAAGGGATGAAAAAAAAGAAATCTAGAATAAGGAGTGAGGACAATAAAGAAACAAGTGAGGAGCACTGACTTAGTGTTAAACTCATACAATCTGAAGGTCAGAAGTTTGACATGGGTGTCATTGGGCAAAAATCAAGGTGGTGGCAGGGCTGCATTTCTTTTTTTGGAGGCTTTAGAGCAGAATCCATTTCTTTAAGTTTTCCAGCTTTTAGAGGTTGTCTGCATACCTTAGTTTATGGTCCCTTTCCTCCTCGAACTTCAAAGCATATCTCTGACGATTCCTTTTTTTTTTTTTTAAGATTTTATTTATTTATTTGAGATAGAGAGTGAGAGACAGGAGACAGAGGGAGAGGGAGAGGGAGAAGCAGACTCCCCACTAAGCAAGGAGCCCAGTGTGGGGCTCAATCCCAGGACTCTGGGACCTGAGCCACTCAGGCACCCCTCTGATCATTCTTCTATAGTCACATCTCTCTCATAGCCAGGGAAGATTCTCCATTTTTGAGGAGCCATGTGATTAGATCGTGCCCACTTGGATAATCCAGGATAATCTCCCTATCTCAGAATCCTTAACAATGACATCTGCCAAGTGCCTTTTGCCATAAAAGGTGATATAGTCACTATTTCTGGGAGTTAGGATAAGTACATCTCGGAGGGGGCATCACTGTGCCAGTCACAAAGATTATGTAGCCCTAATTGGAACCCTCTGTGTAGATCAAAAAATCAAGCAGTATACTACCAGGTGGGTGTATTTCCAGGCTCGGAAACATCAAATGTGTTTTAGCATCCATACCATTTAAAATGTAGAAATAGAATGTCATTTATTCTCAAAGAATTAAGGTATGTGTATTTTGGTAAAGAAAAAGGCATACTTTTTTTTTTATTATGTTCTTATGTAAAACAGCAAAAAATAAATGGATGAACTTTGAAACCTTATACAAAATCCCTTACTCTGGTAACCTGGAGCCCAGGACTAGGTAGTAAGCCACTGAAGTGCTGGTTCATGGTGAGCATGTTTCTTCTTGGTGCTTCTTTGCTAAGATGCTTATGGATTCAGAATAACCACAGGTGACTCTGGATGGCAGCTTCAGTTGACCCCCAACATGATGCCTAAGTGGCCTCTCTTCGATGGAGAGTTGATCCTTGTTTCTATGTAGCTAAGGGGCATTCTGTAGATTCATTTCCTCATTCATACACATTCATGTCCTTAACATTTACCACACATGATTATACCCAGTAATTAGCCCTTGATGGAGAACATTAATAAGAATCCCCTTATGAATTTAATTCCACCATCTGATTCTGATTCTGATTCATGCCCTGTTCTCATCTTTCTACTCTTGTACTAGCTCTCTGGACAAGCTGGGAGCAGAAGTAAAAAATTCCATGTAAGAAAAATGAGGTCTGGGAGAGAAAAAGGAAGTTTGTGATTTACAGGCTGCAATTCAAAAATAGACCTGACCTTTTTGCTTAAAAAGACTCCAGGAAGGAAATGTAGTGGCTCAAATTATTCACAGATAGGGCTATTTATCTTATGTTCCCTTCAAATGGAAAGTAGCACTTGTTTGTTGAATATAGAGTTCCAAGCACTTGCTGGTCACTGTTAGTACTAGGTATCCTCATGGGTTTTGGGGTAAGAGTTTATCTACATAAGAAGTCACATTATATTTGTCTGTGTATAAACATATAGATTCATGTAAAACCACCTCAGTATTTGTCAAACACTTGGCTTTGTAGAGTACTTTTACCTCAGCTATTTCATCTTGTCTCACAGCAACTTGGAAGGTGATCAGAGCAAATAGGAAAATGGAGTCAGCAATTAGCCATAATTCTCATCTCACTTGGTCACAGGGCTAGGTAGCAAGAGTTTAGATTAGAACCAGCTTTCCTAACTTTCCAACCAGGGCTTTTCGTACTTGATTGTCAATTAAAAAAAATTCCAGTAACTCAAGAGTTAAAGCAGAATTTTAATGACTTCAGAACTGTCAGAGCTGTAACACCAATTTTCACTTACAATGTGTATTTTAGGATTATTTGACTGTAATTTGGTGATGGTGGGAATAAGAAACAAAAAAAAAATGGCATTTCATGCAATATTACATAAAAACATAACAAGATCTTGAAAACTACAATATTATATAAAGAACTAAGAAAAAACACTTTCTGTACTATTTTAGAACATGGTTTTAGGACATGGCTTTGACCACATAATGAATATAAGGATCAAACAGTAAATGCAGACATGACCTTTGACCTTAATTGTTCAATATGCACAGAGCTGAGCATTTTCTGGTAAATGTAATTATTCCCACCAAAAATGGGGTAAATAATATGCCTTTAAATCTAAAGTTAGGCTGTAGAGTTTAGAATTCTACCTTTTACCTTACATGTTTCTTTTCCTTGCTGTCTAATCTAGGTCAGTTGTACAAAAAATGTTTTTACTTAAAAATGGTCATCATATTTTGGGGGGCTGGTTTGGACTCAGTATGATTTTCTGGATCATTTATACCATTTGACCAGGTTGAGATTTTGTTTTTGTTTTTTTATGCCAGTCTAAAAGTACACAAAACCTGTTTCTTCCTGGTTTTACTCATCAGTTTTCAGTAAATAACAACTTTTAATCTTTCAAAGATATACTTTAAAATTAAGTGATTTGTCTTTTTTACCTAATAATTTCTTCCTGCCTCTTGAAATATTTCTGTAGCCATATTAAATATCGGCAGGAAAAGATCTCCACACACACAAAAAATTCCTCTTAAGTTTCCATGTGTATTTTGCTGATGATATTTGTGGCAGATAGGAATATTGTATTGTTAGATAGATGAAAGTGGCTTCTGTTTGGAATGCTACTTTTGTCTGTAAGGAATTAGATCTGGGTCACATAAAGGGCAGGCTCATGAAACTTGTCCAGTGCCACCATCTTACCTCATGCAAGGAGCATAAAACAACTCTTCAGGCTTTTATTCATCAAAATGGAATGTGTTTCATTAGGAATTCTACTCAAAGATTGAGACTGCATACTGAGAAAATTATGTAGCGATCATCTTTCCCTAACCTAAAAAATAAAATACGAATGTGGAAAAGTTCACAGCATTTCACATCCTTTACCCTGCCCCACCCATGACCACCTGGTGACATGGTTTAACCAAGACGGGGTACTGTGGACCCTCAATGGTCTCAATATTAAGAGTCTGTGCAATAACTTCGAGGTCCTTCTCTGATTAGCTGTGTTTTCTCATTTGCATTTGTAGGCTGGAGAACAACTGGAAAGTCCACATCTAAAAATAAACAAAGCAAAGCAATAAACACCATCTGATCATGTTACATTTCCTTTAGTGGGGCAAGTGGTGGATATTTTTGTTGAAATGATGATTGACAAACCAATTCATTTCATAAGATATTGAGGATGCCTGCCCTTTAAAGGATTTCAAAAGAGAGGAGACACTGTTTTACTCTTCAGTTAAGTTCTGTCAGTTATGGAATTAGAAAACGAAAGCACTGAAACCAACTTTCAAGTTCAGGCAATTGCTGAACCTGGTGAACCTGAACTTTAGTTTTCACCATCTTGTGGGGATGAGGACAGATCCATCACATAGACCCTAGTGTATATCTGTATTAAAAATGCCTCTTAAAGTTGTTCAGTGTACAATTACATATATGGCCCTGGTTGGGAGAGAGGTCAAAGCCCAGAGCTTGCTTAGATGACAGTTTAATAGGAAGCTCCCCACATAAAGCTAGTATCCAAAATGGTTATGCACTCTCTAAATCACCATACCCCTATATCTACAAGGACATTTGTTAGTCCTGAGTTTTGGTGCTGAGGTAAAAGAAGAAAGAACTCCCCTACAAATATTTAATGGCAAGCCAATGAGCACACATATTGGCAGACCAAATTTAAATATATATTCTAAGAAATTGCAAGCTGATAGTTTAATTTAAAATGGTCCAGTATAAGATGCGCTCCCAAGCACCTACCAGAAGAGGATGGCCCCATCTTCAACCCAGATCTCAAAGAATCACTGAAATATTGCTAAAACACATGAACTCAAGGTAAAAATGAATAGAAAGATAGGGGAGATAGAGTTAGAGAAATAGAGACCCTCAAAAAATAACTAAAAAATTGTAAGAAACATGAACTCAGTAAAAAACAGGGAGAGAGAGCGAGAGAGAGAGATTGAAATATTGAGAAGGAAAGAGTGAAAGATTACACACAAAAACAATGCACACTGAGAGCTAGTAGAAACAATAGAAGGCCAAATCAGACTCAGAAAGACTTCAAATCCCTCACTTTAAAGACACAGAATTAAAAAAAAAAAATTATATGTGTTTAAGTGATCAAGTGGATTTTGAAACTAATACAAAAGAACTTGAGATCAAAATATCTGAAAATTTCAAAACCTGATGAATGGGTTTAACAGCTAAAGAGAGAATTAATGAAGTGGAAGACAGATCTGAGGAGGTTAATCAGAATGTCACACAGAGAAACACAAAAATAAACATGAAAGAGGTTAAAGGACATGAAGAATTTTCAGACAATAAAAATGGAAATTGTGCCACCAATAGATTCAGCTTAAAAGCTGTAATTCAGGCACAAAAAAAGTATTAGTAGATGGAAAATTTGTGCTGTAAAAAGGAATGATTGGTAAAGAAAATGGTAGGTATATGAATAAAAATAAGGGTTTATTGACTGTATACAGCAATAATAATAATTTAGGAGACTTAAAATTAAGATAAAACTAGAATACAAGAATAGTGTATAAATGAAAAAGGAAGTGATCAGAGTTAAAATGTTAAAAAGTTCTTATATTGTTCAGGAGGGGGTAAAGATAAGAATTAATTCTAAACTTTGATAACAAGTATGCTTGATAAATGTTACCCTAAAAGAACAGGGCAGAGAATATAATTTCCAAACTGGAGGAGGGAAAGGAATGAAATATGAAAAAAATATTCTATCATTAAAAAGAAAAAATAAACAGAAAAAAATGTCAATTTAAAGTGATAATTAAAAAAATAAAGTAATAACTAATTATAAGTATCTAGCCCTCGTTACTCAGGTAGTCAATAATAGAGCTGGTATTCAAACCTAGGCAGTATTTCCTAAGTCTTTTAAAAACTGTACTATACTAGCTCTCATGAAAGAGTAAGTTAGTAGAAAAAAAAATCAAAATACATCATTAATTATAATAAATAAAATGGACTTAATACCTTTTTAAAAAGAAAAATATTCTCAAACTGAATAAATCCCACCCCCTACCATATGTTGTTTGTAAAATACACATCAAAAAAATATAAGAGCAAAATAATTGAGAGTAAAAAGATGTAAACATCTTTACCACACAAACACTACTAAAGAGAAAGCTAATGTAACTATATTTTAACAAAGCAAAAGACAAAAAGCATTGATAGAGCTAAAGAGTAACTATGTAATATAATATTCAGTTCACCAAATAGCTATTAAAGTTCTAAACTTATATACACTAATAAAATAGCCTCAAAATACATGAAGCAAAATTGATAGAACTTTATAGAAAAATAGAGAAATCCATCATCACAGTAGAAGATTTGAATGCTTCTTTCAGTAACTGATGAAGCAAACAAAAAATTCTTTAAGGATATAAAACATTTGATAAGTACAGTGTTCTGGACTAAATTGTGTCACACACACTGCCCCCCCCCCTCAGTTCATATGTTGAAGTTCTAACCCCCAGTACCTCTAATGTGAATCATATTTGGAGAGAGCACCTTTAAAGAGGTAATTAAGTTAAAATGAGGTCCTCAGAGTAGGCATTCATTCAATATAACTGGTGTCATTATAAGACGATATTAGGACATAGATACACAGAGGGAAGACCATGTGAAGACATGAGGAGAAAATGGCCATCTACATGCCAAGAAGAGAGGCCTCAGAAGAATTCAACACTGTCACACCTTAAACTTTGACTTCTAACCTCGAGAATTGGGAGAGAATAAATTTCTGTTGTTTAAGCCACCCTGTCTGTGGTACTTTGTTAACAGCAGCCCTAGCAAACTAGTACATATAATAAATTGGATTTATTTAATAGTCATATATGAAACAGTGAAACTAAAAAATGCAGAATGTATTATTTTGAAGCAATGTGGAACATTTATAAAAATTAAGTTATAGGATGTAAAGCAAGCCTCAAGATATTTTGAACTATTGAGTCATGTTTTCCATAATTTCTGATCACAACGCAATTAAGTTAGACACAAACAAAAATAACCTGAAAAATCCCCACAGGTTTACAAATTAAGACACATATAGGCCTAACTTATAGATCAAAGAAAAAATTATGAAGTGGGGGAAAGATGGCAGAGGAGTAGGGGACCCTATTCCAACCGGTCCCCAGAATTGAGCTGGATATCTACCAGACCACTCTGAACACCCACAAAATCAGCCTGAGATGTAAGAAGATAGATCTGGATCTCCACAAACAGAATCTTGCAGGCAGTTGGTTTCGAGGTACGAACTGGGGAGCTGTGATTCCGGGCACATATCAGAGGATAAATGGAAGGGGGAGGGAGCCCAGCCGTCGGGATCCTCTACCGCAGGTGAGCGATAGCCTCCCATGCTGGGGACTGGGCACAGACTCGCAGACTGGTAACGATGGGGAAAGGACTTTAGGGCAGCCCCCCGGATGGAAACCCGGAGAGGTGGGGCTGCATGTGTGAACTGGGGTGGCTGGTGGTTTTAGAAGCACAAAGGGCAGAGACATGCCCCGACCTGGAGGCGAGGACTGGGAGGCTTGCTGAGGGTCCCACAACCCAGGATGCTGCAGTTTATAGCAGCACAGACAGAAACGGAGAGAGTGTGGCCTGGAGAGCTCACTGAAGAACAGACTGCGATCTCTCCACTCTGAGGCAGTCTGCTCTAACTCTCGGAAGAGACATGGAAAGGCGCCAGGGAAAGCCACCAGAACAGAACAAAAGCCCCCCAAAACCGGTTTTCACTGAGCCCATACCCAGCCACAGGGGGCAGGGTAACTCTGTCCAAACAGGGTTGCCTGAGTAACAGCGCAGCAGGCCCCTTCCCCAGAAGACAGGCTGGGAAACGAAGAGGCCAGTAACCCTAAGTTCCCTAGAAAACAGGTGCATCTTGCTTGGGTTGTGGTCAATAATTTGGACTCCATACATTCCCTCAACCACCCCTCAACAGAATGACTAGGAGGAGGAACCCCCAAAATAGGAAAGACTCAGAGACTATGACTTATGCCACAGATTTACAAATGGATTCAGATATAACCAAGATGTCAGAGATGGAATTCAGGCTAGCAATTGTGAAGACAATAGCTAGAATGGAGAAATCAAGTAATGGCAACACAAAGTCTCTAAGGGCAGAAATGAAAGCTGAATTGGCAGAACTTAAAAATGCAATCAGTGAGATCCAATCTAATCTAGATAATCTAACAGCTAGGGTAAGCGAGGCAGAAGAACGAATTAGTGACCAATTAATAAACAAAAAGGGAAAAGAGGAGGCCAGGGAAAAACAACTCAGAACCACAGAACACTCATGAAAGAAATTGAGGAAGACACAAAAAAGATGGAAAAACATTCTATGCTCATGGATTTGAAGAATAAACATTGTTAAAATGTCTATGCTACCCAGAGCAATCTATACTTTCAATGCCATCCTGATCAAAATTCCAATGACATTTTTCAAAGTGCTGGAACAAACAATCCTAAAATTTGTATGGAATCAGAAAAGACCCCGAATCGCCAAGGAAATGTTGAAAAAGAAAAAGCTGGGGGCATCACGTTGCCCAATTTCAAGCTATATTACAAAGCTGTGATCACCAAGACAGCATGGTACTGGCACAAAAACAGACATATAGACCAATGGAACAGAATAGAGAGCCCAGATATGGACCCTCAACTCTATAGTCAAATAATCTTCGACAAAGCAGGCAAAAATATGCAATGGAAAAAAAAGACAGTCTCTTCAATAAATGGTGCTGGGAACATTGGACAGCCACATGCAGAAGAATGAAACTCGACCATTCTCTAACACCATACACAAAGATAAACTCAAAATGGATGAAAGACCTATATGTGAGACAGGAATCCTTCAAAATCCTAGAAGAGAACATAGGCAGTAACCTCTTTGACATCGGCCACAGCAACTTCTTTCAAGATACATCTCCAAAGGCTAGTGAAACAAAAGCAAAAATGAACTTCTGGGACTTCATCAAGGAAACAGTCAACAAAACAAAGAGGCAACCAACAGAATGGGAGAAGATATTTGCAAATGACACTACAGATAAAGGACTGGTATCCAAGATCTATAAAGAACTTCTCAAACTCAACACCCAAAAAACAAATAATCAAGTCAAAAAACGGGCAGAAGACATGAACAGACACTTCTCTAAAGAAGACATACAAATGGCTAACAGACATATGAAAAAAATGTTCATCATCATTAGTCATCAGGGAAATTCAAATCAAAACCACATTGAGATACCACCTTACACCAGTTGGAATAGCAAAAATTGACAAGGCAAGAAACAAGAAATGTTGGAGAGGTTGTGGAGAAAGGGGAACCCTCTTACACTGTTGGTGGGAATGCAAGTTGGTACAGCCACTTTGGAAAACAGTGTGGAGGTGCCTCAAAAAATTAAAAATAGAGCTACCCTATGACCCAGCAATTGCACTACTGGGTATTTACCCCAAAGACACAGATGTAGTGAAAAGAAGGGCCATATGCACCCCAATGTTCATAGCAGCAATGTTCACAATAGCCAAACTGTGGAAAGAGCCGAGATGCCCTTCAACAGATGAATGGATAAAGAAGATGTGGTCCATATATACAATGGAATATTACTCAGCCGTCAGAAAGGATGAGTACCCAACTTTTACATCAACATGGATGGGACTGGAGGAGATTATGCTAAGTGAAATAAGTCAAGCAGAGAAAGTCAATTATCATATGGTTTCACTTATTTGTGGAACATAAGGAATAGCATGGAGGATATTAGGAGAAGGAAGGGAAAAATGAAGGGGGGAAATTGGAAGGAGAGATGAATCATGAGACACTATGGACTCTGAGAAACAAACTGAAAGTTTTAGAGGGGAGGAGGGTGGGGGGATGAATGAGCCCGGTGATGGGTATTAAGGAGGGCACATACTGCATGGAGCACTGGGTGTTGTACAAAAACAGTGAATCGTGGATCACTGCATCGAAAACTGGTGATGTATCGTATGGTGACTAACATAACATAATAAATAAAATTTTAAAAAAAGAGAGAGACATCCCCTCCAAAAAAGAAAAAAATTATGATGGAAATTAGAAAATATTTAGAACTCAGATTATAAGAATAATATAAAAACGTGTGTGACACTAAAATGGTCATATAATAAGTATAGGAAAATTTATAGCCTTAAATGCTTAATATCACAAAAGAAGAAGCACTGAAAATTAAGTGTAAAAATTAAGAAGTTAGAAAATTAACAATAAGTTAAGAGAAATAATAAAGAATAAAAATTAAAAAGAAACAAATTACAAGAGAATCAAACCCAAAAGTTTTTTTTTTGAGAAGACCAATTAAATTTTCAAATATCTGGTAGAATGGCTGAAAAAAAAAAAGCAGAAATAACCAATATAAGGAATGAAAAATGGGACAGTAATACAGATCTTACAGATGCATGAAAGGTAATAAGAGGAAATTTTTAAAAAACTAGTTTTTTAATAAAGATAGCAAATCTAAATGGCCTATAAACATTAATACATTGAATCAATAATTTAAAATTTGTACAATTGCACATTAGCCCAGAAAGTCCTGCAAAATGTTGTAGAAATAAATCCAATAATACATAAACTCTTTAAGAAAAGTTTAAAAAGAAGGAGTAGTTTCTAATTTATTTCATGAGGCAGAATCTTGGTATAGAACCCTATAAGGAAAGTTTGAGAAAGGAAAATGTAGACCAACCTCAATCATTAACATAGATACAAACATCTAAAACAAAATATCAGCAAACCCATTTCATCAAAAAATAAAATAGTTAATACATTATGACTGCATTGGGTTTAATCTCAGAATACAAGATTATCTTACCTTTGGAAAAACAATTTATATATTTCTTCATATTAACAGATTAAAGGAGAAAAATCATGACCATCTCAATTGGTGAAGAAAAAATATTTGATAAAATTTCACACTCATGATAAAGTTCTAACAAAAAAGGAATAGAAGACTATTTTCTTAACCTGATCAAAAACCTACAGCAAGACTCATAATTAGGATCCAATTTTGATCAGTTATATAGAAACCCTGAAGAATTTACAGATAAATAATTGGAAATGGAGAGTTTAGCTAGTTTCTTTAATTCAAAATCAATGTTTAAAAAAGTACATTTCTGAAAAACAAGTAGAAAACTAATATATAATTATATAATTATAATTATTTATAATTATATAAAAATTGATATTCAGGAATAAATGTAAGAGTTAAACCCGAATATAAAAAATCAGTTAGGGGCACCTGGGTGGCTCAGTTGGTTAAGCGACTGCCTTCGGCTTGGGTCATGATCCCAGAGTCCTGGGATTGAGTCCTGCATCGAGCCCCACATTGAGCCCCACATCGGGCTCCCTGCTCCTTGGGGAGCCTGGTTCTCCCTCTCCCTCTGCTGCTCCCCCTGCTTGTGCTCTCTCTCTCTGTGTGTCAAATAAATAAATAAAATCTTTTTAAAAAATTAGAAAAAGATAGATATAATAAAAATCTGCAAAAGATTTGAATAGGCAATTCATAGAAGGAGAAACTCAAATGAAAAATAAGCATATAAAAAGATGTTCAACTTTATTAGTAATCAAGGAGACAAAAATTAGAACCACAGTAGTATACCATTTCCCACCCACCAGTGTGACACACAATTAGTCTGGTGATGTCAAGGATGTGGAGCAACAGGAGCAACTCTTATTAACTGTTAGTAGGAATGGATATTAGTGCAACAATTTTGCAGAACAACTTGGCATCATCTAATAAGGTATACTTGTACAAACGCTTTGACTAAGGTATTCACTCCTAGCACTCATGCACCAGAAGACATGTACACGAACATTCATAGCAGCATTGTTTGTAATGGCAAACAAGTGGAAACTACTCAAATATGTGTCAGCAGTAGAATGGATAAATAAATTTATGGTATGTTCTCACAGAAGATTATTATACAGAAGTGAAAGTGAATGAAAAGCAGTCACAATGTGAATGCATCTCAGAAATATGATGTTGAGTGAAAACAAGTTGGAGGATAAATGTGGAGTCCATTCACTTAAATTTCAAAAATATGCAAAACCAACCAATATACTCGTTAGGAATGTAAATATATATAGTTGTAATACTAAAAAGGATAGTAAGGAAATGATTACATTATAATAGCCAGGACATGGATGGAGACAACCTAAGTGTTTATCAATGTTTGAATGGATAAAAAAAAAGGTATGTGTGTATGCTGGCACACATGAACATGTGATGGAATATTATTCTGCCATAAAAAAGAAAGAATTTTGCCATTTTTAACAACATGGATGGAACTTGAGTACATTAAACTAAGTGAAATTAAGTTAGAGAAAGACAAATATTCTATGATCTCACTTATATGTGGATTAAAAAAAAAGCTTATAGAAAAAGAGATCAGATTTGTGGTTACCAGAAGTGTGAGTAGTTAAAAGGTAACAAACTTGCAGTTTTAAGATAAATAATTTCTGGGGATGTAATGTACAACATGATGACTATAGTTAATACTGCTGTATGGTATATTTGAAAGTTGCGAAGAGAGTAAATCCTAAAAGTTCTCATCACAGGGAAAACCTTTTTTTCCTTTTTTTTTTTTTGTATCTATATGAGAAGATGGATGTTACCTAAACATATTGTGGCAATCATTTCATAAATATATATAAGTCAAGTCATTATGCTGTACACTTTAAACAGCACTGTATGTCAAATATCTCAATAAAACTGAAGGGAAAAAATGATTACAAATGATTTAAGATAGCAGAGGGAAAGTCAGCAAGGAACTGAAAAGGTAATGGCAATATTCTTTTTATGAAAAGTATAAAGTCAAGTCATGATAGCTGTATGTATTCAATATTTAATAAAGGCAATAACAGATTAAGGAATTAAGTGAATTACCCCCAAAATCTCAACCAGGAACCTATCGAATTAGGGCTTGAAATAGAATTGTCTGACTCCAAAGCCCTCAGTTGTGGCCACTAGCAGTATCTGCTCTCAAAGTAGCTGGCATAAGAGGCTGATAATCAACTTTCCTATCTCCCCTCACTTTGTGAATTTGATGCCTTGCTTAGGCCCATGGTATCTTCCATTCCCTACCATGGGTGAATTTGTGGGGAACAAAAAAACTTCTCCATTTCTGAAGGAAGGGTATTTAGTTTCTTTCTCTAGTCAAATCTTGGTCTACCCTTCTCTACGATGTGTATTTTTTAAGTGAGGTAAGAGTCACATAAAATTAATCATTTTAAAGTGAACAATTTAGTATAATTCACCACTTTTATCTAGTTTCAAAACATTTTCCCAAAAGGAAACTAGGGACCCATTAGTCCTCCCTTCCCCAGGCCCTGGCAAACATCAGTCTACTTTCTGCCTCAATAGATTTATCTGTTCTTGTTATTTCATATAAATTATATCATGCAATAATTGTTCCTTTGTATTTGGCTTCTTTCACTCAGCATAATGTTTCCAGGTGCATCCACATTGTAGCATGGTTCAGTATTTCATTACTTTTTATGGGTGAATAAAATTTCACCTCCTCTACTTTTTTGTAATTTTCTCCTCAGAGCCTCCTGAGTTATAGCTGGATTGTAGCTATATAGTATATATATATATATAGCTATATAAGCTGGATTATACCCTTTCACATTTCCCCCTTTATTTAGTTAAATCTTACTGCTCCTGCTTTTTTTTTTTTTTCTTTAACAAACTGCCCAGGATTCCAGCTGCTTTTCCTCTATCATATTTCACTTTGATGGTATGAGCCCTTGTCTGAACATATTCCATTTTGGGTTATTTGCAAATATGGTCTCTGCACAACTTCTGCTTCATTCAATTCCTTGATAAAACTATTCAGTAGAAAAGCCCAATATGACCGTAACTGCTTTGTCTGGCATGAGAACATAATTTGCCATCTTATCCATACATTGCGGGGAGATATTGTGCCAAATGTTTTGCTGGTATCAAGATTCATCCATTTTAGGGTTCTCTATCTTCATAATCTCCTCCCCCTTAACTCCTCATTCTTTATGTCTTCAGCTTTAAATGTCACTTCCTCAGGGAAGCTGTCTTTACCTGCATTCTTGGTTTGCTTTGCCAGGGTGTTCAGAGATAACCGGTTCCTATTTATGCTCTTGCTTCTGTTCCTTGTTACACTGTCTCACAAGTCAGGCCCCCTCGTGTTTATTATCACAGCCCCTGTGCCTCTTCTTTGGTATGTTTATTATATTTTTAAATTAACTAGCTCTTTGTGTCATTATTTGACATTTGTTGCCCCATGTCCTCTGCTAGATCATAAAATCCAAGATAGCAGGGGCCATGTATTTTTTT